CACGTCGCTTCTTATCGTATATCAGAATGTCCAGTCGATCTGCATTTACCTTTATAACTGTTCTTACTCGACTATCGATTCTGATCTCATTCTCATTCGCGAACAGAATGGCTGTTCATGGACATGAATGCTTTCAGACCATACTTCTTGCAGAGCAAAAATGGTGCATCGATGCATCTATTTGAAGTCATGATGTAACAACATTTTTTCGCACTACGTTGCTAGGTGGTCCACCGTCTTCACACGTTCCTCACAATGTTGGCACATACCTTTATCACCTGCAAACACATTTCTGTCTTGGAAGTTACAGTATCGCGCTTCATCCTGTGAATATTTCCAAATCGTAGCCACACTGATGAATGAATTTGACACTGAGGCTATCTCATTTCTATACATCTTGTATAGCTTTGCATGACGAGTTTTGTTCTCTATTTCGCTATACAGGAGTGCTTTCTGAGCTGCTAATACGTTTTTGACGGTTGGATGTTTATTATTATTACTATTATTATTATTACTATTATTATTATTATTACTATTATTACTATATTAGTAATATTTTGCAGAAGAATTCAGAACTAAGTTTATTATATATTGAAATTGGCTATAATTTGAGCTGATGGTTGAAACTTTATTGAAAGAAAAGTAGTCCCATACTTTTACTTTTATTAGCAAAATATCTCGTTGTTAAGGGCTGTACTGAGTTGATTAGACGAAGTGATGCCTACAAGGCTTTCAAATTTTTATTGCTGCAATGCAAATAAAAGTGAAGAATTTATCGCTAAAAAGACAATTTGTGAATGAAAACTGACTTCAATTTCTGACTTTTTCTAATTCAACGCTAACTGATTGAAGACATAATGTCTTTGCATAATGAGTATTTTACTTTTTCATACCGATTTAAAAATTTTCTCTTTGATTTGGTAGTGACTAAAATCAGGCCTGGAATTACAAGTATCAAAATCTGATCAACGTTTTCATTTCCAGCTGAAATATTTCTCAGATTACTAGATGAATACAAATGAAAAGAATTATTCTTGTGAACTTTGAACTGATCTTTCAAAAATGGACCAGATCAATCATTAATCAACTAATCATTTTCAGACGAATTGAAAATTCGTGTCAAGTATGAGAATTATTTCCAAATTATTTGGTGATTCCACCAATACATCGATGATTCAAAATGATTACTCTCAGAAAATCACAATTAATCACTCCTAAAAATAAGTCAATAATTAGCAAGAGCTGATAGCTATCAGTTCTTGCTAATTATTGACTTATTTTAAGATCATTTAGAGAGAAAGATCATTTAGTGCATTTGAGAAGAAATGTGTCGGGCGAAGAACGCAAATTGTTTTTCGAACTAAAGTATGCTTGCCTGAGAAAGCATCCAAGCACTCACTTCTTTATCTCATCTTTTGCCAGTAGCGAACATCCACTGCTTGCTTTCATCAGCTCGCCATTACTTTCACTTTTTTTCGAAAAGACTTGCGAAAGATAAGTTTCCTTATCGATTGCATACTTCACACATTGTTTTTCAATGTTTACTAGTAGCTTGTTGACTGACGGATAAGGCATAACTGCAAGATTTACCAGCTTAATCTCCGGTAACTGTTGTAGTACTCAGGCTGTTAACCGAGATTGCAGGTGACACGGGTCCTGTAACTCTGTTGCTACTGCTTACTTCCACTTTGTGAGAGAGTGAGTGCCTTAGTAATGCATATAGTAAGTGCTTATTTTGTTCATCGTTGTTTCTGGCGTAGGTATTGAAAGCAGACGTGCGGATGTCAGTCGATCTCAACAACTTTTTGCGCGCCTTGCGAGCTTTCCTCTTCTTATTCAACTTTTTGTTTTGGGTATGTTTCAGTTTTACTTCGAATTCCCTGTCAAGTAGTCATTTGGTCATCACTATTCTCAAAAATTTATAAAAAGGCGTAACTAAAGATTCATCAAACTCAATCGGTTATCCATTAATTTTAATGATAAGTTAAAAAGTAAAAAACGCTTGTTTTGCTCAATTAATTTCAAGAAAATAAGTTGGTGGAATGTGAAAAAACTACTATAGCCCAAGTTTTGACAAAATTATTCAACGTATAAAGCATACAATTCAAAAAGCATTAATCATTATTTCACAGTCAAAATGCATTCGGAGGCCTGCCTGAGTGTGTGCTGGAGGAGATAAATTATGCTGAGAATAAATGACGAACATATTATTCAAAATTTTTTCTACTTCATTTTGTTTAAACTAATTGCAATCAAATTTGTATTATTTATTATAAATAGTTGAGGAAGATCAAGACCTAACTGCTTGTTTGAAGGGAACTTAGAAAGTGTCATTACTTGAATTCAAGCAAAGTTTTTGAATGACTTTGTTAGAAAACCCATGTAAGTTTGATGCAACATGACTTTTCTCCTTTTCCCGTTATGAAATGCTTACAGATAACAAAAGTAAGTTTTGATCGCAAGAAATCGTAGCTCTCTCCAGTACCTTTATTTATTACTACTTCTTTCCAGAGTTTTTATTTAATGACTTTTTACCATAGTTTCAGCTCTCGGGCCTGTTCGTCTTAGCTTTAGGCTTATGGCTTTTGCTGGACCGTTCTGTTTACGATATCTTGATAACTCACGGTACTTCTCAAACAAGTGGGAACTTCCTGTTGATATGCTACTTGTTAATTGGCTCGGGAGCGATAATGACATTGATCGGTGGATTGGGATGTTGCGGGGCCTGGCGTCTTAATCAAGGAATGCTCACAGGGGTAAGATGTTGGCTTCTGTTAATTCATTATTCTTTTATACTTTGATTTTTAGAGCTAGCATTATTGTCGCAAATGTAATTCACCTTTTGAAACACATCAAAAACCTAACGTGCTCAGGATAAGCAGTGTTCATAAAGCTTCAGAACACAAAGTTTCTGTACTATGCTGGCCACATGCTATATTCTTTAATTACTCCATTTTCAAATGTTTTTTTATCTATGAATTACAATTGCTGATAGTGTCATACTGTTATTATTACAGTGACTGCATTTATCATCTGCATTCAGTCTCGACTTATGACGAGTTTTAATCTTTTTTGAATTGCCAGTACCATGGGAATGATATTATAAGGAAATTAAATTCGTTTTCATGTTATCGTTCCATAATAATTGAAAAGGAATGGTGAACCTTTTCTCACACATTTTGTAAGTAATAAGGAAAGGAAGTCACCGATAACAGCTGAAGCCCTAATTTTTCAAAGAATAGTCAGTTGTTTCTCAAATGCACAAAATTTATATCTCAACTGTAAATAGAAATGTGTCGGGTTGTATCGCCATCATGAAGACAATTAGTTCTAAATTTTTAATCTACAGTTTTTTCAAATTAAAATTACTACTAATGTTGTAATTACTTTATATCCCAAAATTTTTAAGCAGAAAAATTGTGCTAAAATTGCCATTTCATGAGCTTTTTATTTGCAGCTATTTCATAGAGATGTTTGAGATATGGAAAAAAATTATCTTGAGTTAGCTTAACCATTATAATTCGTTGGTGATTTGATTTCCTAGCAATGTATACTATAAACTCTCAAGAGACTATTTATTTATATTTGTTGTTCTGCAGATTTTCAGTATTTCTCAAACACAAGTTCTGAACTGATAAATTATGTTTGTTTTTCAGTTCTTCCTTATTTTAATTTTCGTATTTTGCCTACAACTGACCTGTGCAGTGTTGGCATACAGTCAGCAAGACCTGATAAAGCGTTACATTGATCATTCTATGTACCGAATTGTGCAACAACTTTACTCTACTCAGTCAAATTATAAAGAATTACTTGACGAAATACAAACTAAAGTAAGCATCTTGCTGACATTGCCGCGAACTATGAAATTGCATTTAATACATTTTTATTTCATTACTATGTGGCATTTTGAAAGAAAACAGAAGAAACGAGCCTCTCTGAATTGCACTAAAATATTTTCAAGCTTTAAAAACTAAAAAGAACGAGTGTTTTTTTTAGCATCTAGATCTGGTTTTATGTCTCAATTTCGTTGTTTCAGTTCCAATGTTGTGGTGTGCGAGGATATCGCGACTGGATATATTCTTCATGGGAGCGTAATGTTTCAGGAAGAATTGAACTTGGCATCGGTTATCCTTCTTGTAATTTCTAGACATGATATTGATCTGCAGCAACTAATATTTATACATGATTACTGACCTATACAATTGATTTCACATACACTTACGCAAATCAAGTTGTGCCAAAGAACCAGTTCTGTATATCAGTAATAAAGAAGCCTGACCTCAAGCTCTTGTTGCTATTAACTTTTATCAAAATCTGCTAAAACTTATTTCCATGTGAAAAAAATGCTGTGAATTGATGTCAGACTATTTCATTCCATGGGTACTTTTCATAACTGATGTACAGAATATACAGTCCTTACCGTAATATTCACTGCTCATTTAATTAAGTGAAAAGTTTTTCAGGAAACTCAGATATCGGCAAAGTTCCTAGATCATGCTGTAATGAACAAGGCTTACGTGATTATCCTACTGAGTGTGGGCTGAGTTTCGACAAAATGGAGCTGTGGACCTATGAACCGTTTATTCATTTGAAGGTTTGCATTCCAAAGTTTTCACAATACCATTAGTCAATACCATCACTCTTAATACAATTTTGTTTCTTTGTCTATTTTTTATGACACCCTCTTAAACTTTACATTAATTAAATTCTTGTTCAGTTAATCATATAAATTTTCATGATTTCAGGGATGCAGCGAAGCAATTTATGAAGCAGCCTATAGTCATTTGAACATCGCAATTCTTGTTTGTGTCAGTTTGGGTGCTCTTGAGGTATATATTTCATATTTCATATGCTTTTGTGTTAGAAAATCTAGTATTTGTAGTAAGTATGTACTCAAACTATATAACAATATTTGATGAAATTAACGAATTTTAAACATTTAATTTTGAACAATCTGCGTATGTTCATTGGAACACACTACAGTATTACACGATATCAAATTAGTCCAATCGTAAGGGTTCATACTATTTCTCATGCAGCAAAATCACATAAGTAACAGTAAAATAAATTTTATTCAGCTTTTGGGTATGTTTCTCACTATGTTGCTTTGCTGCTGGCTGAATTCTGGAGGACGACGCAAAACGAACTTATAGATGAACTAAAAGAATGAATGATTAAATGATAATAATGCAAAGTGACAAGTATATAACCAGTATTCATAATGTATAATGTATAGATG